GGACAAGGATGGTTACCAGTATACACTAATATATGCACATGAATGCATAGATGTAAGGAAGGTATTGAGGTGTGTTTGAATATGTTTGAACCTATGAGTGGCTGGAGGTACAAGTAGGTCGGGTGGTATTAGGGGGGTGACACGCAATCACGGGCGAGGGTAATCAAGCGTAGGCTAAGGTGAATCGTGTCTGTCTTTTTCGTGTTAGACGGTCGTACCTATTCTTTCCAGACAAACGCTCAAGTAGCCCCTACTGGATCGCACTAAAGAAAATGCCGCTAAGTGAGGCGAGAAGTTCAAAAGCTGTCGAAGCGCATTGAGAACATTGGAGCTCGACTGCGCAAGAAACTGGATGCTCGTTTGGCATCAGCCGTTAGTCCTGTGATCTGACCTGACCTGATCCAACATCCTCCGAGGGCACTGTTACACACTAAAGAGAACCAGGTGAAGGCTAGCAATCAGACATCACTTCCTTGCAAATAGAGTAGTCCCTGCATGGAACAAACTACCAGCTCGAATAGTTGAATGTCCCACAATGAAGGATTTCAAACTAGAGCTGGACAAGGAGTGGTATCTCTTATTCCCAGAACTGCCCTAAGGATGAGGGTTATTTTAGTTTACTGATGGAATGCATATAACAGATACTGCGCCGTCTCCCTTTCCCTTCTACTTTCCAGATATTACTCCCTCGTGGAGAGTCTGAAGAAGCTTTACACTCACAGGCGGGNTACCAGGACACCCAACAGGCGAAGGCCTCTCTAGGTCCTGTGATTTGAATTTGAATTTCACCTACAGAGTCGCTTCAAGACGTCACGACAACCTGATTTGAACTCCTCAAGGTCGCGTTGTCACTGGACGGCGTCTGCCGCCCTTGTGGTGATGCGGTCAATTATTTCCTTCGTTCCCAGGTTGTTTAGGGTAAGTGTTTTCAGTAATAAAGTATAACGAAACTAGCGGCAAGAAAAACCCGTATTAGAGAAATTAGAAGATATTGAGGATGTACGTTTTCTCAGTAACGCATTCTATGCAGCATATTTGTTCTAGGAAATTCTCGCCTTGGAAACCACAAGAAGCTCGAGTCTGGATTCGGAGAAGCGTTTCATGTTCCGGCTGGTGGTATACTCCCTACTACTTTTCGGAATGGGCTTCATTTTCATATACTACTACTACTGGCCTACCACACAAAAGGGCAAGGCGCTTATGTACACATTGCTGGTCATTTATCCAATAATGTAAGCAGCACTCAATCCTTTCTGTTAACTTTCAGTGTGAGCCTATTGAAATGGGCTCTACGAAGTTTCTTCATTCGAAGGATATCAAAAGCAGGTAAGTTCCTCCTCTCTATGGTCATGTGCTGAAGATAGTCGACTGAAAGTTCTGCGGGAAGCTAAACAAAAGCTTGTGAGTGCCGTTTGCTCTATGATTTATTTTGAAAGCTGGAAGAAGTTATGGAGAAAGAAACTTTCAAAAAGGCTCAACAGATTCTGAAGCGTTTCGATCCTTTGATGTTTGCATCGTTGTCTTCTCTAGTAAGAATCACATATGGGAACTCATAAACAATAGGATAATCTCGGCATGGAAACTCCTAAAACATCTTCAAGGATGTCACTTGCTCCACTCTCTGAGTTGCACCTCAAAACTCAAAAGGGTTTCGCTGATGGTGACAACCGATCTCTTTTAACCATGACGCCACTGCGGCAAATGACAACAAATGGGAAGAGTAAGTTCGACTATTTTCAGTACATTCATATGTCAGTAGCGTTCTATAAAGGCAGTCTGCGTGGGCAACTTTGAAGCACCTTGTCTCGTTAGTTATTCTCGTCCAATCGGATTAGAGGCTAGCCTGATAATCGTTTCCCGGTGGTAATTCGGTAAATGACATTTTTCTATAGCATGACTAGGGTGTCCTAAGTTAAACGTAAACCCCATAATCAGACCGTACTAAAGCAATAGGAGACTATGGAAAACAACCTGTTGATTTTGTGCTTCAATGTAGAAAGGTGATAGCGAGGATAAGCAGATTACGGAAGAGTTCCTGGATTTCTTGATAAAAAGACTTTAAAGCCGTCCTTTTAGAACCACCTAGTTGGGTTGGCTAAACGCTTGGGACCAGGTCTTGCGTGCAAGTGATTGTAAAGGGGATCCAATTGGCGAGTTTNTTTTACAGAGCAACCTCTTTATTTTTATTTATTACACAGATCGACGCAGAGAAGTACGACACCTGGTGACCGAAATATGATAAGGACAACTATATTTCTATTTATGGAATACGCATACTTTTTCAAGCGTTCTCAGTTTCAGTTTGCACAATCAAACCATGCACTTTCGTACGCCGGTTTTGATTGCTGTCTTCTTGTTACCCATTTGGAGACAGACAGGAAGGTTGAAAGTAGAGTGGAATAGAAATCCATTAAACTATGGCTGCAAAGAAATCGAGAAGATGCAAGACCGCCACGGTTTATGACACTCAGTCATATCACTCCATGTTTCTAACTATTGGTTAACATCATCCCGAGGTCCCTAGCCAGGGAGCCTAACGGGACATGTGACCGAGTCTTTTGGTTAGGGTGTTCACACCCACATGCCCGGTCTTGTTTTAACCACCTTTGGCTTTATTCCACCCACTGCCTGCCGTAAACAGGAAGCCTCTGAGATTGAGAGGAGGAACTACACAGATGGGAAGGAGGTTTCCTCAAATAGGTACTTAAGGCTTTAGGGTAGCCTACACCGACGAAGAGGTTTTTCTTTGGGAATCCTAACCGGAGCCTTCGACTCAAAAGTCCGGCAGTGGGGCGTTAATCCGACGCGGGAGCCTAACCGAAGCCCCCTTAAAGGAGCTTCTAGAGACCTGTTACGCAAGGCTTTCGGGTTTCGGTTCACTGTATTGTTCGCTGGTGCGTTGGTTGACGATCCGCTTTTCGGGATCGGCCCTTAGTCTTATGCACCCAGTGAGACAAGCGGAACATGGACGGGACAGCACTTCATTGGCTGGGGGCCGCCCAGCTTGGGAGGGCTGTAGCTGTCTGGCGCGTTGCAAAGACTCCCACCGTCGAGAGGAAGCCCTAGGTACGCCACTCCTACATCCATCGAGCGGGTTTTTTGACCGGCAAACTGACCCTCCTGGTGCTTTTTTGCTGGAGTGCCCTCTCTCGAGGCGGGTGTGGATAGACAAAGGAAGCCAGGTGTCCAAGCTGCTGCCTTTGTAAGACTGAGCTTCGTTCGGCCTCTACCCACTGACCTTTCAGGTGTGATTGGATCTGCCACTGTGAGAAGCTATCCTGTATAGCTCGCAAGGTCATGGAAGTACGCAAGCCATCACACCACGTCATTGTGCAGCCTCGTCGTGATGGATACTTTCTACCAAAAGCTACACAACCTCTGAGTGAAGCAAAACGGGCTAATATCGTGATTTTATCAGGAGATACGAATGAAACTAATGAAAATGTCCTTTTACTTCCTTTTTTCTATTTATTGAATATACAAATGTACAGTTAACTTTCAGGAAGGGGGGCTGCGGCCATACGAAGGCTGCCTGGGGAAAATACATATATGGGGAAGA